AGACAAGAAACGGGGAGCTGAGGGAGAGGCTTGCAGGGGGGACTAGGCAAGGAAGGCGGTCACTGGAGCATCTAAGGGAAGGAGGCAGAGAGCTACTGTGGGGCGAGGAGGGCGCCATTAAGGTGTTTGTGGGAGCAGCTGAGCAAAACCTGGGGGGTGATAATGGCAGGTGCTGTGGAGCAGGACACAAAGAGGGGACATTGTGGGGCAGGCATGGGGATCATTTTTATAGCAGGATCAGTTAAAACTGGGCAGAGAGGGTGCTGGGGAGAATGTGAGCAGTTTAGAAGGGAACACTAGTTTTGAGCGCAAGGACAGAGGGGGCCTGCTCAGACCTTGCGGTGATGTGGGGGTCTGTCTTCCCCACACACCCAGTTTAAGCAGTGCTGCCCGACTTGCCTGTGCTCCACGGCCTCCCTGCCACGTCCTCCCTGTTCCCCTGGGTTTTAGCCCCCTGACATGTCTTCACCCAGGGATGACTTTCCTCCAGCCCCTCAGGGCAGTGTGATGTGTTCTCAACTCTGCTCCTGTGAGCTTCCCCGTATCTGTCAAAACAATCCTATGACTAAGTTCTTTGCTTCTCCCTCTGTGTTTGTTGCTAAACTGGGGGTAAAGTCCTGTACTTGATTGGGGCCTTTTGTCCCCATCACAGCCGAGTTAGTCTCTAGCATCTAGTGCAGCTACACAGGTGTGTGGACAGCTGGCAGGGTGCGGTCTGCAGGTCTGCGGGTGGGCTGGGGCGGTGGCTGTGTGTGCCATGTACATAGTCTTAAAATAATTTATGTTTTGCCTTTAATTTTTTCCAGCTTTGTTGACACATAGCATCATGTAAGTGTGATATGCACAATGTATTGATTTGGCACACTTACATGTTTCAGTGGGATTAACATGCCCATCACATCACCTCATTACCACTTCTTTCTGTGGTGAGAGCAAGGAAGGTCTACTGTCTTAGCCAGTTTTCAAGCATATAATTCAGTGTTATTAACTATAGTCCCCATGCCGTCCCTACCCAACCAGAGGGTTTTCAGCTGATAATTGTAAGTTTGTGTCCCCTCCCCCCAGAGCGCCGATAACTGCCATTCTAGTCTCTGTTTCTGTGAGTTCATTTTATTTTTGATTCCACGTGTAAGGATTTTAGGCACTATTTGTTCTTCTCTGTTGGCTTTTTTAGATTCCCAATGAAAGTGACATTATACAGTACTTGTCTTCCTCTGTTTGACCTATTTCATTGAACATAAAGCCCTCCATGCTCATCCACATGGTCGCAAAGGAGGTTGACCTTCTTTCTCATTGACATGAATATTATATAATGTGTATAATATTTGCATGTGAGTATATTATATAAACGTATATGTTATATATCCATAGACCATATCTATACATCATGTTCTGAGCTCCATTGGATTGGGTGGGGGGAGGCAGTGGTTCTTCTGTCATGAACACCATACCTATTGTCCAAGACAAGACTTTTGGTCAAGCCTGAAGTCCAGGGACATGAAAATACACTCCTCTCCCCAGGAGGCCATGGAAAGGAAAGAATGAGAAGGCTTGATACACTGTAGAGCTGTGAAGAATGAAGACCATGGATTCGGGCCTCCACAGCCCTTGACAATGTGTTTCTTACTGAGTGCCATTGAGTGAATGCAAAAGGCTGTGGTTACCAGACTTGCAAGTCTTAGTCTTTTCTGATATTCACAGTAGCATAGACCGAAAGGCAAGAGGTTCAAATATCAGGAAACGCTTTCTGAAGCAATTTCAGTCGTGGCATTTGAAGTGAGGGAGGTCAGATGATAGAGCCATGTTAGGTAACAATGGAGACTGAAATGTCATATCAAAATGAAAAGCATTTGCTCTGTTTCTCTATATTCCGCATCCAAGTAAAATCATAGGATGTGTGTCTTTCTCCACCTGACCTATTTCGCTAAGCCAGATACCCTCTCGGCCCATCTGTGTGGTACCCACATATACAGCTGAGGAGTACTCACTGTGTATGGACCACATCGGCTCCAGCCACTCCTCTGTCCTTGGGCACTAGGTTGTCCCCACAACTTGGCTATCGTAAACTGCTGCACTGAATGTGGGCCGGCGTGCTTCCCTTTGAATCAAATATTTTTTGTGTTCTTCAGTCAGATACACAAAACTGGGGTAGGGGGATCATATTTCAGATTTTTGAGGAAGCTCTATGCTGTTTTTCCAGCTTACATTGCTACAAATAGGGTACCCGAGTCCCACTCTGCACATCCTCACCAACATGTTGTTTCTCGTCTTTTGGATAAAAGCCATTCCCACAGGTGTGAGGTGATTTCTCACTGTACTTTATGATTTCCATTTCCCTAATTTTAAGTGATGATGAACATCTTTTCATGTGCCTGCTGGCCATCTGTATGTCTTCTTTAAAGAAGTGTCTATTCAGATCCTCTGCCCACTCTTTAACTGGATTGTTTGTTCTGCTGTTGAATTTTTTGAGTTCTTTGCATGTTTTGGTTGTGAACCTGTGTCTGCTAGATGATGTGCAAGTCTCTCTGCCCACTCAATAGCTGGCCTTTTCATTTTAACAACGGATTCTTTTGTTGCGCAGAAGCTTTATAGTTTGATGTTATCACATTTGTCTACCTTTGCTTTGTTTCCATTGCCATTGGACACAAGTCCACAAAGACATAGCAAAAGTACCTTTTAGACTATGAGAACAAAACATTGGGGGAGGAGGGAATGGCTACATTGGGTAGCAGGGGTCGAGCATAGGGAGGTAGACAGAAACTAGACTTTCGGTGGCAAACAATGTTGTATATGCAGGTGTCGATTTGTAAGGCATATACCTGGGAGACTATACAATGATACAGACCAGTTATTTCTGTTACCAAAAATTGGGAAGTCTTTATAACTGGGGCCTTCCTAATGCCGCATGCATTTGAGTGCAGTGCTGTGAAGCTGTCCACAGCCTCTACAGCGTGGGTTCGATCCTGGCTGGCCGTGGAGATACCCACACGATGCAGCAGATCTCTCCTGTCTCGCCCGCTGCTCCCCTCAGCAGTGTGTTTCGGTCCATCTGCCTGTTCTGTTCCCAGGTCTGTCTGTCTCACCCTCCCACATGTCTGGTCTGTACCCCAGTTCTTGTATAAATAAATAAATCTTTAAAAAAAAAAAGACTTGGGCCTCCCTGGTGGCACAGCATGTTGAGCACAGTGCTGTGAAGCTGTACACAGCCTCTGCAGCACAGGTTCAATCCCAGCTGGCTGGGGAGAGTCCCACATGGCGTGGCAGACCTCTCCTGTCATGCCCGCTGCTCCCCTCAGCAGTGCTTTTGGTCCATCTGCCTGTTCTGCTCCCCGCTTTTTCTCTGGTGAATCCTCTCACCCTCCCGCTACTCTGGCCTGTACCCCAGCTCTTTTATAAATAAAAAATAAATCTTTAAAAAAAAAAGACTTTATAAGTGACCCAGTCATTTTGAACAGTGAGGAGAAACTTCAAATGTATGATGATGGTTTCGCACATCAGTGCTGTAGAAGGTCTGAGGAAACTCTTGTATCTGCTTTGCCAGGCTTCTTAAAATAGCAACTAAGGAAGTATGTGTTGGCTGAAACAGTTTTAAACTAGGCACTCCTCATTACCTCGAAGTTGTCAACTGCTCCAACAGAGAGACACACTGAGGAATAAATGTCAGAAATGAAGCTTAAAGTAATCTGGGACCTGAACAGTCTCCTGCCTTCTCATCCTCGCTCACCTGCCTTCCCCTGCCTGGCCTCTCTGTGAACGCCCTGCTCCTTCAGCACGCCCTGGACATGCGCTCTCACGAGACCCTTGTCCTCGCGGGGTGGTGTGTCTGGGGGAGGCTCCCGTCACCCCTCCTGGGACCCACACCACACTCTTCAAGTCTCAACCCAGACAACACTCGCAGAGGCCCTTTTTGTTGCCTTCTTGTCACCTGTCTTAAGGGCAGAAACACAGTCACATCCTCCTCTGGGTCCCCGGTTCTTTGCCCATGTTTGTGTTGTCTCCCCGACAAGGTGGCTCCAGTGATTGTCCGCACAGCAGCCTTGCCTGCTTCCTGAGCTTGCATCCCGGGGGCTGACATTCTCATCTCTCCAGATTATTACTCCCAAAGCACAATAGAGTGTTTTATATTAGCTGGGTTTCCAAAACAATAAAGGACTGAAAAGTATGTTTAATTTTTTTTCAAAGACTTATTTATTTTTATACAAGAACCGGGGTACAGGCCAGATGCGCGGGAGGGTGAGAGGATTCACCAGAGAGAACAGAACAGGCAGACTGACTGAAATACCTGCTGAGGGGAGCAGCAGGCAAGACCAGAGAGGTCTGCTTCGTCATGTGGGATTCTCCCCGGCTGGCTGGGATCGAACCTGTGCTGCAGAGGCTGCAGACAGCTTCACAGTGTGGCACTCAACCATCTGTGCCACCAGGGAGGCCTAGTAGAGTATGTTTTAAAAGTATGTTTTAACGTAAAGCTTCCATATGATCCAGCAATTCCACTCCTAGGTATTTACCCAAAGGACACAGAATCATCAATTCCAAAGAGCACCTGCACCCCTATGTTTATAGCAGCACTGTTTACAATAGCTAAGCTTTGGAAACAACCCAAATGCCCAAAAATAGATGACTGGATCAAGAAGATGTGGTCCATATACACCATGGAATATTACTCAGCATTCAAAAAAGATAAACACATGTAATTTGCAGCAACATGGATGGCGCTGGAAGGGATCATGCTCAGCGAAATAAGCCAGAAAGAAAAAGAAAAATGCCGGATGGTCTCACTCATAGCAGGAATCTAGGAAACTTAAATAAGGGACCAGGAAAAAGAATAACTATAAGAAAGTGAAAATCAAAATCAACAAACAACTATGAACCAGAGACACTCTATGGGGGGTGGGGGGCAGGGAAAGGAGCGATTGGGGTCAAAATAAGGGGGTTGCAATTGTATGGGGAATATAAAGATAAAATTAAAATAAAAACAATAATTTAAAAAAGTATGTTTTAAAATGAGGCAGTACAGTCTAGAGAGACACGTGACCTTGGGTTATTGTCCATACCAGCTTGGAAATCCATGTTCTCTTGTGCTCTCTCTTCTGTGACACTTCAAGCTAAGAAAATAGGCTCTTCTAGGTCACAGGTCAGCAGAGTGGCTGTGAACATCCTGCTGTTTTCTGGAAGAGAAATCATAGGCATGAAACTTCTGTGAAAACGTCAAAGAGAAAGCGCTGGCATCTCCCTGTTTCTTATCCAAAGATAAGTCATGCCAGGGGCCTCCCCTGGTGGTGCAGGCGATTGAGCACCATGCTGTGAAGCTGCCCGTGGCCTCTGCAGCGCTGGTTCGATCCCTACTGGCCAGCGAGGGTCCCACATGGTGCAGCAGACCTCTCCTGCCTCTCCAGCTGCTCCCCTCGGCAGTGTATTTTGTCAGTCTGCCTGTTCTGTTCCCTGCTCTGTCTCTGGTGAGTCTTCTCGCCCTCCCGCTCATCTGGCCTGTATCCTGGTTCTTGTATAAAATAAGTAAATAAATCTTTAAAAAAATTTTTTTCTTAAAAAAAAAAAAAGATTAAGTCATGCCAGAAAAAAATTCTGAAATGTTTGAAATCAGACAGTGAGTTTTTTCCCAAGGATTTGGTCTGCACAAATATTTATGAATTTAAATTTATTATAGATTGGGCCCCTGGTGGTGCAGGTGGTTGAGCGCAGCACTGTGAAGCTGTCTGCAGCCTCTGCATTGCCGGTTCAATCTCCGCCGGCCACGAAGATAACCACATGGCATGGCAGACCTCTCCTGTCTCGCCTGCTGCTCCCCTCAGCAGTGTATTTCATCAGTCTGCCTGTTCTGTTCCCCGCTCTGTCTCTGGTGAATTCTCTCACCCTCCCGCACATCTAACCTATACCCCGGTTCTTATATAAATAAATAAATCTTTAAAAAATACTAAGAAAATAAATTTATAGATTAAATATCATGCCTTTAGTTTCATCATCTCTTTGCTAATGATTTCCATAGTATGTTATGGCCACTTTTGAAACGTTGAAAGTTGAGCACTTTTCTTTCTCATACTCTGTAGAGCCCAGGTGAACTAAAAATAAGGTCTCTTTTTTTGTTTTTGGCATCTCGAAAGTGTTCCAGATGTGCTCTGGAAGGTTTCTGGTGGGAACCTTGTCCTCCAAAGCAGCAACCTTGGGGCTTTTTCGACATCCAGGCACAGTCCAAGACTGTAGACTGGGAGCTAGGAGGGGTGGCCTTCTAACCCCATGTCTGATAGGGTGTATCAAGCAGACATCTGTCTTCCCTGCTGACTCGGGCTGTTCAGGGTCAGCTTCAGTGGCCTCTGGACCGAGTTTGGGGAGCAGACTCTCAGTAGAGCCCTGGTCACCCCAACCCTCGTCCTTGGCCTGCTGTTCCAGAGGCCTTCCCAGGCCCTCCTGCTGGGCCTCTACCCACCCACCACCACCACCATGCAGGAATCCTTTTTCAGTGGAAAAGAACTATTTTTCCTTTTAAGCTTCTTAAAGCTTCTTACCTGTATCCATAATGCTCTCTCCCTCCTAGGCTCTAGGTTTGGGAGACAAAGGCCAAAAATTATTTTGCAGAAAGTCACTGCTTGTCAGGGGCGTCCTTCCCGGCAGGGAGCAGCGTCTCACCCCTGTGGATTAGCAGGAAGAAAAGGTGAAACAAGGGGGAAATTTTACCTGGAAACACGAGCCCACTCCAGTGTGCATAAGAACTGCTGAATGGAGGAATAATCTGGGGTGTTCACAGGGTCATGACTGCCATCGCCCATGGCCCACCCCCACTGGCATTGCCCTGAAAACCCAGCGACTTGGCTCCCAGGAAGGAGTGAAGGAATAAGGACTGAAACTGTGTCTCTTGCATCACTTACATCCCTTTAAAAGACAGCCAGTGATGTGTGAAGGGATGCGATTTTATATGAATGTAATTTGTTAATTAATATCTCCGTTAATTAATATCTCCACTGATCCTTAATTGGGAGGTTCTTGCCTGGCAGGTTTCACTATGACTTTTCACTCCCATGTATGTTTTACTGTTGAGCATGTTTTTGGCCAAAATTTCGATGCTTTTCTTGGGAAACAGAGCGCTCTGGCCTGGTGATCAGGTGTCATTACGATTATTCCTCAGTCAGAACATTGGACTTTGGAAAGAAGTTTGTTTTTTTGTTTTGTTTTTCTAACAAACAAAGCACTTTGGAAATTTGCTGCCTGGAAGGAAGACTGTAATAAAAGTGTCTCTTGAAGATGAGGTCAGACAAGTGGAAGTGATTTCGTCATTTTACAGACCTGTTCCCTTAAACTAAGCCTGAAGAAAGATTTATCAGGCACTTTATCAGGCACTGATAAAGATTTATCAGGCACTTTCATAGGATACGGATTTTCCATTTAAAATTTCTAGTTCCCTAACCTATGCCTTGTTTTATCCTCATCCCAGACAGAAACTTAAAGTCAGTGACTAAAAAAGAATCTAAAACTCAGGTAGCCAGAAAGACTTCTGATTCCAAATCTGCATGATAGGCAGCAGCCTGCCAGGATTTTTCTAAACTAGAGATTTTTACCAGGCTCTGTAACTGTCCACTTTAAAGACTGCTGTGCAAAATAAGAATCGCTGGTTCGGACAGTTTCTACTTTCATGAACTTGTCTCCCCATAGTCATTTCCTTCTCGCAGGACTCGCGGAGGGAAGCACATCCCTCCGTGCTGCAGGGATACATATAACCATCAGTGGTGCACTTTGACTAGTCCCTGTTCTGTTCCCATCGGGGAGAGTCCCCAGTCAGCCAAGCTACAGGGTCACAGGGACAACACCCCAGGTTCCAGTTCTCCTAGGCCTTCAGACACTGCATGGAATAAGGCCACAAAGCTAGAGAACAGGTTCCACCACAACCATCTGATGTCTGGTGCCAGCTGCAAGTGAGGGGGTTCCCAAAACACTCCTCACAGCTGGGGATTCACTTGAAAGAGTGGCATAATCCACTGAAGCCTGTGGCACAAAAACGTATGGCTTATTACAGGAAGATGTTATAGATTCAAACCCACCAGTGTGGGGAGGCACGAGGAGGGCCCCAGTAGCCCAATATGAAGCCTCTTTTGTCCTTAGGATGAGCCACGCTCTCAGCATACACATAGGAGTTTTTAATCCTGGGAAGCTGGGCAGAGCTTGGGTGCCTGGAGCTTGTCCTGGGACTTCACAATGTAGGAGAACTGCTTGGCCAGGTGCCCACACAGTGGACTCTATTTTCACCCCCCCCGTGTCCCCACAGTTTGGGGGATAGCATGGCACCCAAGGGACCTGCCATGCATGGCCTTGGTAACATCATCTGTCAAGTGTGGTCTGAGGGACTCACCACGAATAACAAAGATGCTCCTATCCCTTGGGAAGTGCCAAGAATTTAGGTTATTTCCCAGGAGCCGAGGGCAAGGACCAGACCTCTCCTGGGTGAGGACGAGGCTTTACTCCACCCTCGGGGTCAGGAGGGAATGACATATTGACATTGGGTGAGAGAGAGCTCTCAGTCCTGTCTAACTTATTTCAGCAAGTGACTCAGTCACAAACCTCAGCGTGTTCACACAATGAGTAACAAGTTGCATCACAGATGGCTGGCCTCAGCGTGCGTCTGCATTGAAGAGAGAGCTTCCGCCTCGTGATGTGCCTCTGCAAGCCAGGGTGCAAATATTGGTGAAGCACGGTCCTCCTCCAAGACAGCCAGACCACTGACTGCCCTGCAGACCAAAAACTCCAGGGTCAGTGCCGTCCCTTACTCATTATTGCGTCTGCAGCCTCTGGCATGGCGATTCTGCTCAGCGTTTGCTAAACTGGCATAAGCTGTCTCGCTGTGTCTGCACTGAGACCATCGTAGTGTTTTCTTCTTTTTTTTAATTGAGATAACATTGGTTTCCAACGCTGGATGTGATTCAGAGTTATAGTTCACACCTCTTCAGATGTATGTTACCACACCACGCCCACTGCCAATGCAGTTACTATAGATTCTGAAGGGGATGTGACAGAAATGGAGTTTAGGGAGAGCCATTGGACACAGCATGCAAGGTGAGCTTGAGGGCAATGGTGCTAAAGGAAGTCGACAAACTAGGGGGCCCCTGCTGGTCTTGGGGACGGTAGTCCTGGCTGGTGATGTTTCAGAGTAAGACTACCTGACCTGTATAAACTAGCAGTGCCAACTCAGAAAATCAGTTACAGCTGATTTTGGCCAAAGCCTGGCTTCCTTTGCGGGCATACATGTAGGGTGTGTCAGCTTCTGTTGCACCAAAGACCACCCCTAAATAAAAGGACAGCCATCAAGTGTTATTAGCCAGTGTCCACAGCAGCTGTCAGAATACATCACGTCTGGGGTAGGCGCAGTGGCTGAAGCAGATTGGAGCAGCAGCAGCCACGTCAGCCTTTGTGGGAAAAGCTGTGCCCATGACCACGCATGCCCTCTCTCCCGATGTTGCCTCCTCTGCTTGTCAGCTCCGTCCAAGCACTGAGATGACCGGGGGTTGTGGGGGTGGGATGCTGGCTGGCAACCCGGCCAACTCACCGGTGTCTCGTCACCCCACGCCCATCTCCTAGGACATCAGTGAGTGCGGCTCAGATCCAACACTTTGTGCTTTGAGCCCTGGTCCAGCCACCAGCTTGTTTCTTGAAGAGCCTTTTCCTCATCTTGCATTGCAGTCTCTTCATGAGTTGTGAGTAACTGAGCAACGAGCTCAGCCGCCCTGCACCGCCCTGTTACACAGGAGGCTTGCCTGTCCACCTGAGGTCTGTGGCAGATAAACTGCCCACAGGTCTGCCCTCTGGGGCTTGCTGTCAGCACTGCCGTTGGGGTTATTGCTTGCACCCACATACAGGCCCTCTCTCTCCAGATGGCCCCTCGTGGAAGTGACCACGGCTCTTTCTAAGAAAGAAAAGAGAAGGCCCTTCTGCACCATTTAGGAAGACTGACAGGCTTTTGTCTCTAGAACTGCTGTCAGTCTGGAAGTTCTATGCCAGGCCGTGACTCTCCAGCAGGGCAGGTGACCCAAGCCTCTCCTCGTTTATTCCAATCTCTTGCCATGTGAGCAGTACTGTCATTGTTGCCACCCTGTCTGGCCTTTAGAGGTGCCATGTTCTATGGGCCCCCTAGTAGGTTCCTGCAGCCCCCACCCCTCACCCGGTCCTGCCATTCTGATCTCGCTGCATGTAAAGTAAGTCTGTCCGCTGGGCTTTGAGAGCTCAGTGTTGTCACCTCCTCTCTGGATGCCCAGGTCCTATCCACTTGCTACCAGGGAGCCCTAGCTCATGACCATGGCCTGCTCTTAGTCCCGGCTGCAGAAGGCGGCACCCTGTTTTCCCGTGGCCAGCACCTTCCTTTGCAGCCCATTCTTCAGCACCATGGCAGGATTTTGTCTATCTGAGTGGTGGATTTGGTGGCTAATAAATACTAGTCATTTGAGTGATTAGATTGCACATATTCTGTATTTTTCCAGAAAGAGGGCGAAAACTTGTACGTTCCAGTTATTAGAAATGTCCTCCCTTGTGTTTGGACAGGAATAATTTACGAGGCTTTTTTCCATGACCTGAGGGGAAAATTTTGTAATCATGTGTAATTTTATTTTCTATTCTTCTGCATTTAGAAAGTATCCTTCTGATTATTCATTTAGCTTCCAGATACCTTGATAATGAAAGATGGAGCCAGGAAGAGCAGGCATGTGGCTGCCTCCTTCAGTTCCCTGGTGGCTGATAAATGTGGCTCTCAGTCTGAAAACCTCATTGTCTTGCCTTTGGAGATGTCCAGCAGCACAGGGAGCCGCCGGCCATTGGAGGCTGGAGTGGGGTTCTCTGCTCCCATGGGGTCATGCAGCCTGTCACGGCATGCAGGGAGTCCCGTCGCGTGGGAGGACAGAAGGTCTGCGACGCTGGCCTGGACGACCTTTAAACCCTCTGTAATTGCAGCTGGCCTTCGCACAAGTAGGTGCTGCTGCTGAGGGCTTCATCTTCCTTTGGTGAACATCCAGCTTCCCTGGAACCTCCCCGTGGGTTCCTGGGTTCCACTTTGGCCCCCAGCAACCCCTGATATGTTGCATCTACACTGTTGTGTTGAACACCAGGCTTTCCAACTAGGAGCAGCGGGAGTGCCGGTGGCTCCCCAGCATTGAAGGGAAGCTTGCCGCCCTGTTCCTGCTGGGACACACACGTGCAAAAGGTCAGTGAGGAGCCTAAGGCTCTGCATGGAGGCTGCCGGGCGCAACGGGAGCATTGGGAGCACGTTCTGAAATCACGTAGCAAGAAATAGAAGCAACAGCCGAAAGGCCTAGATGTGATTATTAGGGAAGAGGCAAGAGGGCCGGGGAGCCGATGGCAGTTCTTGGGGAGCAGGGCGCTGGAGTCAGATATCTCGGGTCCCTGGCAGAGCCTCCCACCCCCTGGCCTGCAGCCAGACAGCGTCAGGAGCAGCCACGAGAGTCTCCATCTGTGATGAGGACACATGCACTGCGTGACGACTGAGTCAGATAGTATACCCGACACGCATGGTGTGGGATCCATTCCCCGAGCATCGCCTGCTACCAAGTGTTATTGTTGTTGCCAATGAGGATCGGGGGCACAGGCTGTTACAACGTCTTACAAGAGGCAGGGTCTGGAAAGACCTTTCGGGATCAGTAGGCGATCCACTGGCTTGTTATTACCTATACTCTGTCCTGTCTGCTTATAGATCTAACCCAGTGCTACTTTTAAATAGGAATTTGTTCACAGAAATAGAGATGTGTGTACATGTGTGTGACCATGCATGTTGTCTCCCTCTCACGTACATGTCACATCTTATATCTGTGTATACTCCATATAAACACAGAAGTACATGCTCTAAAGTTTGTAAACATAACAACATCTTATGTTTGGAGTCAGCTTCCTCATCATTTCATGTCACCACAAACAAAAACTACTCTATCCCCTAAGTTGACTGAAGAGGTGCAGGAAGCCGGGCAGCTCTAGTTGCCTAAACCCCTGGAGAGATCTGTACCCTGACTGTGACCCAGAAAGGATGCAGACATACCAAGAACACAACCTGAGTTAAGTCCCAGCACCAGGGGCGGTGGAATCAGCTATTTTGGTGTGAGCTGCAAGTCGCCTAAGAGCATGCTCTTTTGAAGGCCGTGTGGTGTTTACTTGAATTCCATTCGTAGCAGGGAGCTCCTAACCTTCTATTGCAGAGGGTGCATTCTTCATTTTTTTAGTGCCAGGTTTCTTACACATTTGAATCTGCAAACTGGTCCCTTCCTTCCCCTGATGTTCAGTTCGCTCACCCACCACTTTCTGTTGTGGCAACTCAGAAAACTCCATTCCCTCCTGCACTTCTGCAGTGGATAGTTTGTGTATTTCCTTGCCCACCTCCCCCCAACAGTTGAACCCTTCCTGCGCTGAGGCATCTCCTGATTTGGGAATCTGTCTGCAGATGGGCACCCCCCATCTGTCCCCTTCCTTCTGCTTTGAATCTGGTTTCGGGCCATCCTAGAACACACTGACCAGAGGCAGCACGTGGTGGCAGCCCAGCTGGGGGGCTAGACAGTGTGTCTCCAGGGCAGCATGGCGGGCCCCCAGTACAGAGCCGATGGTGGCGAGGGGCGCGGGCTGTGTGGCCACAGGCCCGTGGGATGTGCGCTTCACTTTGGCTTTGCAGATGATTTGGGATGGGAGCCTGCTTGTCCCACCCATCTCTCCAGCCCTGGTTCTGCAGTCTCAGGGGACTTCGGGAGCTTCTCCATAATTTGCCTTCTGCTTCAACCATTCCAAATCCTCTTCTGTTGCTTGCACCCAGCAGCTCTGGCTGACACAGCCTGTCAGTCACTAAGATGGCTGGAGAGAGCAACTGTGTAGGTCTTCCTTATCTGCTCTTCACCTTCTCCAGATTCAGTTCTACCGCTTATATTCATGCAGCAATCTGATGACTTAAGAGTATGTGATTAAGAAACCTTATAAACCTGAGCATTTTGGAAGAATATGTGATCTGTCTCTGCACATGGGCCATGCTCGAACTTCCATATGAAACCTTTGCATGCTGTGTCCTCTTTCTGAAAGTTCCTCTCTCCCCAGGGGACCTGCTGTTTCATGATCCGCCTGCTAGGGAGTCAGACTCCAGCCACTGTCCTCACATGGAACAATTGACAAATATGAATGGACAGGAATTACAGACGCAGCTCAAAGAGAGTTGCTCATGCATCCTCTATGTAAACTCTCAATGAAAACTAAGCTGCCCTGCACTGAGTGATTTCTGTGTGCCCCTCAACAATCTAGGTGCTTTGCATTCTTACCTTTCAAAACTTTCTAGGTGGGTTGAAATCTTACTGTCTAATAAGAAAGGAGGAGACTCCAAAAGGTTGACCCATTTACCTCAAGGTCTGCATGTTGATAGATGGACTGGATGGTGTATCTGACTGCAGAGCCCCTCCCTTGGGCCACGTGCTTCTTCGTGTGACAGTGTCTCCCATTGCTGCTCATGAGAAACTTCTGCTAAGGGAGATGATCATGCTCAGGAGGCTTTGT